ATTTTTGAAAGGAATATTTTTTAAAATATTAGGTTTAATATTGTTCTAAGTTTTGTCAGATGATCTTTTTGTTTGGATTTTCCTAATTTGTAATAATTTTAATTTTTTGGGTATGTATTTTTTTGAAATTCTTTGGATTTTTGAGAGGAATATTTTTTAAAATATTATGTTTAATATTGTTCTGAGTTTTGTTAGATAATATTTTTGTTTGGATTTCCCTAGTTTGTAACAATTTTAATTTTTTTGGGTATATATATTTTTGAAACAAGGTCAATTTTTCAAAAAAATAAATTGATTCCAATTTTTTGACTTTTGATGTTGGTTATTTTTTTTGGTTAATAAACAATTAGACTTTTTTTATGATTTTTCTTAGAATTATTTGGTTATATTGTGTACTTTTTATATTTTTTAATCATAAATGAAGTGCATTCACCAATACTGATTTTTAATCTTAGAGTATTTTCTTTGAATTGTTGGGTTATATTTCTAATTTCTATACTTGTCTTTTTGAAATTTTTTTTTTGTAATAGTTATAGAAATACTTAATATTACAGAAATCAAATTCCAAGTTTCCCCTGCTCAGGGTTGGGAACCATGTAGAAATAGTGATATTTTTCTTGTGTTTTGCAGCCTTTTAAGGCCTAGCGAGATTGTAAATATGATATTTTATAATAGATTATGCACACTTTAGTGGGAGTATGTGTGTTAATTGACAAAGGGTTGGGCTGTTTATGGCCCTATCATGTTCAAAATTCTTACCCTTGGGCATGTGGCACAATCGAGAAAGGTTTACAATGGGTCATCCGTTGTTGAAGTTGGAGAGGTGCCTATGGGTGATGTTTGTAGGCCAGGAGAATTGTGTGGTCTCCTATATATATTTGTAAGCCTGTGAGAGCAAATTCCAAAGCCTCAACAAATTTCTGCACTGTATGTATACATGACAACTACTTTATTGAGAAGTAGCCCTATAGAGGGACACTTATACATGTGCATAGAGAGAGCCCCCTTTGTACTGTTGTGACTTGCACTTAAAGGTGAGAACTTAAATCCACATTCCAGAACTATGGACCCACTACTTATTTTCCAATTTTGACAAGCTAATCATCACTTTCTCGCCCATGCCAACATTTCTCTCTCCCAGATTTTCTCTTACACAAACCTCTCTCTCTGCCCATGGCTTGGCACACCATTTTTCTCCTTCTCCATTATGTGTGTAGTAACTCAAGGAAATAAAGAAGAAAAATGAGACATGAAACCCTAAGTGAAGTTTGCTGTATTTTGAAGAAAGAAGGGAAAAGCCCATCCTAGAGAAAGATCAACTTACAAATTCAATCCTTATTGTTCTTGTGGGGTTTCTACAAACCCTAGTAGATTTTTTGAGCTCGCTAAAACCCTAGAAAAAGTATTGCCTAAAAAGGCTTCCCTATCTCAAAATTTTCAGCAACACTTACAGGACTAAAACTGCACCATCGGTCGGGGAATCGGGTGTGGGGTGTTTCAAGATTTGTGAGGTTAACTCTAGGTATCTATTAGTAAGTCTTCTCAGTTGATTCAATTAATTTACATTAATAGTTCTTAATTTTCTATGAATTTTCAGAAATATATATTGTACTAAAAATTAGAGTGGGAGTTTGTTTAAAGCTCCTGGATAGTTTATATTTGTTTTGGCAGTGAAAGTAGAGATCCTAGGATATATCTAAGGTATTAATTTTGATTTATAACAGTATTTAGTGGCCCATGTAAGTGGAATTCATGTATATTGAATAACAGAAAAAGAATTTTTTTAAAATTCAATACCTTGAGTTCCACATAGTCACTTCTTTTCAATTTTGGTAAATTAAGTGACTCCGCTACCAGCAAAGTAAATACAAAAGGGCGTGGTTGTGCAATGAGGGGCTTGGCTGGGCCACGTGGAGGGGCATTCCAAAAGACGCTCTTAGACAGTTAAGGTGGAGCATAACTGCCATGGATAGGGGGCAAGGAGACCATCTTGTGGGGGCGAAGATCACAAGGAATGCCTGGTCGATGCACTTAGGCCACTGATCCTTCGCAGCTTCCTCAAGGTTGCATCTACTGTTCCTTTCTAAGCCCAGGTGGAGTAAATGAACCTATTAACTAGCTTCACTAAGACCACAAGGGAAATTGTGAGGAAGACAATGTCTAAGTGCATTTTCCATAGTGGTGTCCCTTTCATGTAGCCGACAACCCCTAATACACACAAATAATCGCTGCTATTGCGAAAGCAGATCTGGAATCAAGCCCCCCACTGCATATGAGCATAGTGAGCCTTATTTAATGAGGAGGTGGAAGGGGTGGGTGAGTTTATTGAGGAGTTTCGGGTGACTTGGCCGCTAACAAGGGTCTTGATTGTGTCAATGGTCGGAAGAAAGAGTGAATCAAAAGGATTATCTAAACTTCACGGTGTACTAGCCCGCAAGGGATGATTTATCACATTAGTGCACAGGTAACAAAGTTCAAGAAGGATTCCAAACTATTGTGTGCTTTGTTGGATAGAGTTGTGCAAGGTGTGTGAGAGGAGCATGTGATTCAGATCGACACAAAAAATGCGAAAGAGTGCATATATGCATGGAGGAGGTTGATGAAAGATAGAAAACATCTAGTAGTGGAACCCCTATGCTGCCCATTACATTGAATTGATGCTAAAGGAAATTAGCAAGCTTATGAGTGTGAAGGACATTGAGAAGGCATGGAGAATGATCACAAAGTTGACCTACAACCGTTCTAGATTCCTTCAAGTTAGAAGACAATACATGGGTGGTAAGAAGTTGGAAGGCCTGGGATCACACACTTTACTACTACGTACTTTCCATGGAGTTAGTTTTGGAGTCTCAACCCAGGATGAGGATTTTTTTTCTCAATTGACTGGTTAAATTGCTATTTTAGGCAGACCCGGGCTGCAAGGAAAGTTGATGCCATAATAAATGACAGGAGGCTCTGGGAAAGGTACAAGAACATAGTGGCAGACACAACTCCTCTAGTATCATTACTGAAGGCCATGGATGCTGACAACAAGCACACCATGAGGCTCTTCTATGTAGGGATTTGAATGTGAAGGCCACAATACTAGGAAAATGCCAAAGTTTTGCAGCCGGTGCTGAAAATCATTAATTATTGACATTGTTGGGCCACCTGATTTCCTATTTAGCAATTAAAGGTTCTAATATCGCTATTTGATTTATAGAAGATGATGCTTGTAATTGTTATATTCTATCGCTGTTTGTGGTGTTCAGGTCATATCTCTATCCCTGTATGTTATTATTTGAACCCTGCTATTTCGCCTGAGGTCATGGCACGGTGAAATACTTCATATTGATCTTCGAAATAGATATTCCGAAGCAGGCTAATGCTCTAATGGAGGTAAGAATCCCCTTTCTTATGAGGATATATTCTTAACTCAGTGGATTTGTAGAATTTCAACTGTTGACCTGAATGTTGGCCTCTTTCTTAGTTTGCTATGTATAGGAAACGACAAGGGTAATTCAGGTTTATCCTTGCGAAGATGTCATACTCTGATAATGATCGATGTTAACTCTCATGTCCTTTCTTATGTGTCATTTCTTATCAATTAGTCGTAGTACTAGTTGGAACATTGTTTATATGTTATTTGTCTTTTTTTCAATCTCAATGGTGGGTTATGCATGCCGTCGAGATAGAGAATGGTGAGTAAGGTTCTTAGTTTTGCTACGGGGTGTGTGAGAAATTGTGGTTGCATTTCCCTAGGAGAAACATGTTGACTTTCCTCAGGCTTCAGGAATTGGTGTACTTCCATTATATTTTAAACATGAGAAAGCAGCAGCTATAGAGGACTAGAACCCAACTAATTTAGATCGCATACTTATAAACGGTTCAGGTGAGGAGTGGTTGGTGGAGAGGTTAAGCAACCAATCCTTGACATGAGGTTGTTTCTTGAAATGATAGGTGAAGAGGAAGGAGATGATGAGAACCAGCTGGGAGGAGGACGAGGGGACCAAATAATGGAGAGGCTATAATTTGAACAATTTGAAGGAGATGCACTTCAGGCATCCGTAGAGGATAATGGGGGGAGGGGATGGTGGTGATGATGATTCTAAGGTCACCCACCAAAGCCCCAATACAAATGCTGACATAGGTGAGCACAAGCCCGAGAACAATAGGAGGGTGGGGTCTAGCACAAGGGTTGGGTGGGCCAGCCGTGGGAACTTTGGGCTAAGAGGAGAGGATGCTGTGGCCAGGTGTAGTCCACCACTCTGCTTAATTCTCAAGACCTCGAACCCTCAAACTTGTCCCTCAATTGATGGCGCATGGTCAGGATGATGGCAGTTGGGATTCTTATGAGCCATCAAATTGTCCCTTTTGGTATTGGATTGTATGTTGTAACTCATTGAAATATAAATTTCATATATAATTGATTCTATGAATGCCATTATAGAGATTTGTTGCATTTTAGATTGAGAAATGACTGTGGTACTCAAACAAGAACCGGACTTTCAATATGCACACTTCTTTAAAATTTTTATCACAATATGTATTACATTCATCAAATTTTGCACAACTCCACTTATTCTAATTTCTAAAATCTTTTGAATATTGGTTCAAAATTTTTAAGTGCTTGGTACGGTTGAACCAGTTGTACCAATCTGAGTCAGCTGGTTCACGGAGTTGACCAGGATTGGTAGTTGACCGGTTTGGCCTCCCGAGTTGACTTTCTAGAAACTGATTTAGATTATAGTCAAAACTGCTTGTTCCTGAAATTCTTTGATTGCCGTATAATTCATACTAAACTGTTCGTTTCCTTTACACTATAGTCAAAATTGCTTATTCCTGATCTGATTTCATGGCATTAAAACACCAAAATTGTTTCGTTTCCTTTACATTGTAGCTAAAACCCCTCATTCCTCCAACTTTTCTAATATTAACGAGCTAATCAGAACCTCTATATGTGTGATATTGATTTCTATAATAAACCACTTGTACCTGCATCTTTGTCTTTTCCATGGCAGACTGGGAAGCTTCAAATGACACTTGCAAATGAGATTGTTATGAGCGGAAGAGGGCTCCATTCTGGTGTCAAATCAGTTTTGAACCTTCTTCCTGCTAATGCTGGAGAAGGTCGATATTTCATTGTTGGAGCTGATTGTACAAAGATCCCGGCTTCTCTTTCTTTTCTTGAGGATGGTACCAGGCTTTGCACAACTTTGATAAAAAATAATGTGAGGCTGGGAACTGTGGAGCATTTGCTATCAGCCTTGGAAGGTCTTGGGGTGGATAATTGCCGCATCAAGATTGAACAAGGCAATGAGGTAACAAACTCACAGGCTCTATATTTCTCCCTTAGATTTCTTTCTCTCTTCTTTGTGAAATAATTGGTTTCCAATTTGTTGTTTGAGAGGCTGCATCTTGCCTGTAATTTTGATGCTCAGTAGTAACTATTGGTGCAGTTACAATTGATTGTTATATATTCTTAGCGGATGGCTAATAACATCTATTGGTTTATTACAAGAATGAACATATATTTCATTGTATATTTGAAGTGGCTATTCTGAAAGCATTACTCAGTTTAATAAGCATTGATCCCATTATAGATTTATTGATAAAATTGATAGTATTTTGACAAGGACCTACCAACGTCTTCTAAGATTCCTTCTGGATAATATACGGGAATTTGGCACTTAGTTGAATTATCTCTTTGTATGAACTATTATGATTTGGAAATCTGTGAAAATGTCGGCTCTTTTTCTTATGCAAATGTGCTTTTGAATTGCTGTTGATGTTTCGATAAAACTCCTTAATTTTGGTCATATGTACAAGATCAGTACAAATTTTTGTTATTCCTGTTTCTGCAGACATGTGTTTATCAAATTTAGGCATGAAATGATGTTAAGAGCATCGTTTCAGATACAAGAAGCAATAAGCTTATAAATCTTTGATATTCTTGAAAGACTAGAGCTTTTGCGCCTTTATTTCATTATTGTAAATTACTTATCCAGACAATAACCATCATATGTTGATGGCAACTGGAACGAAGTTTACCTTTGGAGGTTGTCCATAAATCTTATTTACCTATAAGCCATAAAATGATGTTAATAGCATCTCTTCAAATTTTTTTTTTCCTGTTTTGTAATATGATGCATCACTTAACTGTCTGCTGTAGTAAGAGCATTCTGGAATTATTGCCTCTGTCACACTACCGAGGTTTTGGATACACCTCATAGAATTGGGGGATGTTTTGACGTTTTTTTAACTTTTCAGCTTTCATGTCAAAGGAAAAGTTGCAGATCAGGCTTTGCTCACTTTTTGCACTTATCAATTTCTGCCCATCCCTTTTCTGATAAGATTTTTCTTTCCTATTTCTGCCAAGAGTGCTGCTATGATTGGACATCATTGCTTGTATAGCCATTGGGTGGTTGAATCCGGTGTTGTCAAATTTGCTTCGCTTCGGCCGAAGCCTTTGGATTTTAGGCCTAGATTGAAGCGAAGCAAAACCTATTGTTGCCGCTTTGGTCAAATTCAAGTCGCTTCGGACTGATTCAGCCTCTACAACCTAAGCAAAGAAATATCTATATAAAAGTGTTATATTTTTATTTTTTTTGGAAATTCTTTTTTTGAAATTTTTTCATTTTTTCAATTTTTTTTTTATATTTATATATATAGATCTATAAATATCTAATTTATTTATATCAAATTAAAAAAAAGTCCGAAGTCTTCCCCCGAATTGGTTGAAGCCCCCAATTGCTTCATTTTTCTCACTAAAGCGAGGAAGACTCCAAAGCGAATCAGACAACATTGGTTGAATCTACATTTGCACCACACTACTCACCCCTTCCACTATTGTTATATCTTTTAGATATTGTCTAGAGGGCATAAGGACCATTACCACTTGTGAATTCTTCTATGGAGGAAAGATGCATACCAGATGTACAGCATACTAAATGTTCTTTCTCACTTTCATCCAATGAAAAGAAGTGATCCATTAACTAGAAAGGCCCATCGAGTTTTTGGTAAGAAGTTTTTGATTGATGCAAAAACCCAAGATTTCTAACTTTATTGTAATATAAGGTTTAATTGTTGAAATTAATGTTCTTAGTCAAGGTTTAAAATCCGGTATGCTTGGCGCCTAGGCACCCAAGACACCTTTGACCGTATGCTTGAACTTGGGCGGGCCAGGCGGGTGCCTAGGAACGTGGGCCTTTTTTTGATTTTTAAAGATGCCCAAGAGGGCAAATGGTGTAATTTTGACCTCCAAAAAGGAATTTTGCATGAATAGTGAAAGTAGGGAAGAGAAAAATGGATCGGCAAAGGAAAATCCATTTGTTTATTGGAAAATGAAGTACTTCCAACCTATTTTTTGAATTGGTTATGAGAGACCCTTCATTTACATGATAATTAATTAAGATATCAAATATTGCCAAATGTTTTCATTTTTGTTCATCAGTTTGTAATTGACAGACGACAATAATGTTTTCTATTTGTTTAAATATTTCGTTTTGAATTGCAAATTGTTATTGTGTGTTGTGACAATGTGATGGTGGTGGAGTGGTGGCAGCGACAGTGGCAGTGTGGTTATGATGGTGGTGGTTCAATAGTTGTGGTGGTCGTGCTGGGAGTGCTGTGATGGTGGTAGCATAGTGGTGGTGATAGTGGAGTGGTAGTTGTGGTGGTTGTGGAGCTCATGGTAGCTGAGTGGTTGTGGTGGTCGGGGTGGTGGGGGCGGTGGTGGTGGAGGATTGTTGTTGGTGGTAGAGGAAGTATGGTGGTGGTAGTAGTTCAAGCTCTTCTTGGGAGCATATCATGAGTACTTTAGCACCATATCACTGGGTATTTGGACATTTGCTTGAGGTATTTTCTCTACCCCCTTCTTACCATGGCCGAAAGAGCAAGATCATCTTGCTTCCTTGAACCAACAGCCCCCTTTTGGCTAACTTAGCCTCCTCTGTACTTGAACTGATATCAACCTTTTAGTTAACCTAGCTTCATTTCACCCCTCGGGACCAATAAGGGTTAGTATAGGACTATTCAGTTGTAGTCAGTGTTTTAAAATGCGGGATGCGGCCAAAATCCGTGGGGGGGCCGATGTGCCTCGATGCGGTCCGGATGCGGGTGCATCATGACGATGCGGTCAATAAATGCAAACAAATTCTAAAAAACCTAAAAAATAGGTTAATGCATAGAAAAAAAGATGGAGGTGATATATGTGATAGTAGGTATTTTAGTTAATGATTAACTCCAAACTTATTAGTTGTCGGAGATTCTATATCCACTATGCCCAATTTTAGTGCTCAATTTCTTGTCGCAAATTCACCTAAACTTTCCCAAATCAACAATCAAAAGGTTCTCATCAATATCCAAGTATCAAACAATCCCCAAATCCAAGATCTGAATGAAAAACAATTTTCGACTAAATTTTTTTTTGCTCGATTTGATGTCAAAAAAGCCACGAAAGTGGCTGTAAATGATAGTTTAGGGGGGTTTAATACCCTTCCAAATTGTTTCCCCCAATTTTTAATGGTCAAAAAGATCATTTTGCTCCTCCCCGAGGGGCACAATCAATTTTTTTTTGCAGAAAACGATGCGGTCAGATTCGGGCTGATGCGCCGCATAACTCAAAACCGCATATGCGGTCTGTGCAGATGCAATGCCCACCGCATACCGCATGATGCGGCGATGCGGCCGCATTTTAAAACATTGGTTGTCGTCCATCAATGCAACCTTTTGGCTCTCCTCGAACTATCGTGAAGCCTAAATGAGGTGAATGTATGATGCATAGGATGATAACATTTTGGCTTAGTGGGTTAGTGTTTGGTTAGATCCTCAGTTGGGCTTAGCTTATTCCTCAATTTCCTTTCCTCAGAATCGGGAAAAGAATTCAGGCTGCGGCAAAGTGGTGGTGGTGGTGGCTACGTGGTGGTGTAGTGTTGGTGGAGGTGGTGGTGATGGAGTGGTTGGCAGTAGTGGAGGTGGTGCCGGTGGTGACATGATAGTGACTTCGATTGATATTTCAGAAAGCAAAAACTTCAATTTGGGGACCCAATTGCAGTTGGGGATAAGTTCAAATTCAAATAGCACCTCTTGAGGCCAAATTGCAGGTGATGAAATTATAAATTGGCCCAAATTGCAATATATCTTGGAAACCAAATGGCGCCTAAGAATTCACTAAGCATTTTCTATTGAATTTGTAGAAAGGCATTGATTTGCTGTTGATGAAATCCAACTTGAAATGTGTTAGAGCGGTACTAATAAAAGCATTGTAGATGGTCACATTTCATTCGCGTTTCTTCTTGACTTGTGTTTTCCTTTGCTGTTTTATGGTCACTGATTTTAATATATTTTGTTGAGTATTATAGAAGTATTATATTCTAATTTATGTTTTTCAAATATTATTGAAAAGTTGAGCTCACAAATTGCTTTGAAAGGTGAGACTAATTATGAGTGATGGATTGAAATGTAGGTTCCTTTACTAGATGGTTCTGCTAAGGAATGGGTGGAGGCTGTCAGAGAAGTTGGTCTATCTGTAGCGGCAAATGATAGTGGCATTACTATGGAAAGGCTTGCTCTTGTAGTTCATGCTCCAATGAACTTTTTCAAGGATGGTTCATTTGTAGTAGCCTTCCCTTCTCCAAAGATCCGGATTACATATGGAATCGATTTTCCTCAGGTGCGATTGTTTTATTGCTATTCTTTTAGTTACTATGGATTGAGGTGACTTAGGGAAATATAGTTCTGCTTATGGTTGTCTTTGATTATTTGGCATTGTATAAAGATTTATTTCCATTGAAATCCTCAAGGTTGTACTGCTATTTGTCCCAAGTTGTTAAATTTATGAAGATTGACCATCTTAATCAAGATGGTTTTGCTACTTCTGTTTTAAGAAATACAAATTTAAGGTAAGAACAGATATATGGTTCTACTCCTGTTGTAGATCTGTCGAGTCACGAACATTTGGTCACTGTTAGAATTCTCATGGTTGTGCTGCAAAATTTCCCAAATTTTCAAATCTGTTAAGATTTATATCTTTTGGTCCCTAAGCTCCTACTATATTCAAAGATTTATCCATCTTGAATTCCATACATCTTAATTTCAATGTCAGTGTTTCCGTGCCTAATGCCGTTTGGCTAAGAAAGAGAAATATGCTTTAGTAATTTTTTAATGTTGGGGAAGGATGGAAATAAAAATGACCAAGAAAAAATGGAAAACCACTCACAAAGCATGAAACTGGTGATAATCTTGGGAAAGGATGGAAATACAGAAATAAAAATGACCAAGAAAAAATGGAAAACCACTCACAAAGCATGAAACTGGTGAGACTAGCACAAATAAGATCATCTATATCATAAGAAAGTTAAAAAATAAGCAAATAAACACTTCATCACAAGATTATATATATGTTTATTACCAACAAGTATTGGTAACTTTGATAATCTAAAAACTGCTGCCCAGAAGAAGCTGCTATGCGAAAGAAAGTAATTAAACTAAAAAATAAGATCAATTTTAATTCTTGTCATAGAAATTTTGACTGAGGATCACTAGCAGAGGTCCTTATGTAGGATTGACCTCATTCTAAAACTTGAACATCATAGTAATAGCTTAAATGTTTTGATATAATAGTTGTAACATTAATGAAAGGAGTGGCTATGTGGAACTCAAGGTAGTAAATTAAAAAAATTTTCTTTTTCTTTTATTCAATAACCTGAATTCCACTTACATGGGCTACTAAACACTGCTGAAAATAAAAATTAAAACCCTAAACACAACCTAGGATCCCCTAAACACAACCTAGGATCTATACTTTTACTGCCAAAGCTAATAAAAACCATCCAGGAGCAATAATAATTCTTACGCTATAATTTTGAGTACAAAATATGTTCCCAAAAATTCACAGAACAATATAAAAGAAAACATTTATATAAGGGCGAGGCCCTAAACAATCAAATTAATGCGCACCTCAAAACTTCACTAAAAGAGGTTGTTTTGATACCCAAAAATTCTCAAATTGATCCTACTGAAATTTCAGAGATGGGAAGCTTTCATAGGCAATATCTCTTAGGTTTTAGAGAGCATGAAAACCTAACAAAGGTTTCTAGGAACCCTTAGGAACAAATTAGGGTTGGGCTTGAAGGTATAGAGTCCTCCTATGGCTGGGCGTACCCCTTTTTCTTCTCCAAACAGCAAAACCCAAATTAGCGTCTCAATGTGCCACCCTTGTCTTATCAAATTTTGGGTGGCAGGACCCTTTTTGGAAGAAGGAGGAGAGAAAAACCAATTTTTAATGAAAGAGATAAATTTGGTGCATGGAGGAGAGAGAAATATGTGTAATGAGAGAAAGGGGCTCAATGGTGTTTAAATAGAAAGAATTCCTTCTATTTGGATTAGAATTCCTTCCTTAGGTATTGTCTATCCAATGACACAGCTTGATCAATAGGAACTTAAGAAATCTGTGGGTTGAGAGAGAACAAATCTGAGCCATCCATCTCAGAGGATTATTAGGAATCTTTTCCCCTTGTAACTTGATCTAAGTCCAACTTTTATTTAAATTAGAATTATAACCAATCTAAACTTCCTAATAGCTTTCCAAAATCTGTAAGAAGTTAAAATAATCGGAGTTTTGGTCAAACCAAACTCCTAATAGAACAATCTTTTAAGAACATAACTCTCATTTGAATAGGAATCCTTTTTTTTTTTTAATTTTAAAAGATTTCTAGCTAATTAAGACTATTAACTAAAAGCGGCACATAAAAAAAAAAAATGGGGCATGCCATCCTAGGGACTTTATGTGGGCCCCACAAGGCCACACGTGCCACTCATAGTGACACACACATGTTGGGGCTAGATCCTAGGTCCCTACATGTGCCTTTTGTGGTTCTGAAAATTTCAAAACTACTATTTTTAATGAATTTACAGCATTAGTAGATTTTAAAAATTCTGAAAAAATTTGTAAAAATCATAGAATATTTCTAATGGCAAAATAAAATATTTAAAAATGGACTAGTACCATTGGGTAAAAATTAATAGCAATAAGGGTACTCCACTTGACCTAAGAACCATGATCCACCACTGTTTCTTATCCAATCCAACAAAGACCTATGACCCACATTCTCAATGCAGGGGCTCATGATTAACTTGTCAAAGTTGGACAATAAACAGTGGAACCATGATCTTGGAATACGGATTACAGTCCCCCCTTTAAGAGCAAGTTCAACACTTGTCACTACAGTGCAAGGTGGCTTCTTTTTCTATGCACATGTACACGTGTCCCTCTATTAGGATGCTTTCCAGTAATGTGACTATCGTGTGTACATGCCATGTAGAAGTTTGTTGAGGCTTTGACCTTTGCTCTTACAGGACTACAATTGTACACAAGAGATTACCCAGTTCTCTTAGCATATAAACATCATCCTTAGACAGCTCTCTGACCTCAACAAGGGATGACCTATTGTAAAACCTTCTCGGTAGTGCCACATGCCCAGGGGTAAGGGTTTTGGAATAACTAGTGCCATAAACTGCTCAATCCTTGGTAAGTCAACACGCACACACTCCCACTGAAGTACATATTTCACTTTAAAATTTCATTTTTACAAGCTCTCTCGGCCTTTAAAGGCCACAAACCTGACATCTCCCACTTTGCCTTTGAAGGCCATACAATCACTACCTCTCAATTTCTCTCAAGCCCATCCCATGTACATGTTTGGCAAAAATATTTGCCACTAATCCTTTCGTCAAAGGATTGCTAACATAGTCTCTGTCGGGAGATATGCAATCTGAATATCTGCTACTCGAATCTCGTTGCCAATGTGGTAGTAGCATGCTTTATATGCCTCGAATTACTCTGGAACCTACTAACCAAACTCATGGCAAAGGATAAATCCGGTCATGTCCCAGGCATAACATACATTAGTGATTGAACTGCACTTCTCTATGGAGTTCTCTGCATGGTTTAGTTTTCCTTTGGAGTATTGAAACGCATGGCTGGGCTAAGCTTGGTCTTCTTATCAATGGGAGTTTATATGGGCTAGCAATTTTCCATTTCAAATCTTTCAAGAATTTATTACATTATGTCTCTTGAGATAATTGAGTAGTTATCTCTTTTTTTTTTTTTCACGTTTCAGGTTATTTTTCATTTCCAAAACATATGATGCTTGTTGAAGATTCTTCATTTCAAAATGCTGTGACAAGAAAGCTTTTGTCTCCAACACGAGACTCATCGAACTATTGGCAATTTACATGTCATCCACATAGACAGAGATGAAAACAATGTCACTTCCACTGACTTTGACATATATACAATAATTCTCCTAGTTAGGCAAAAACCAGTTGATGACAAGGTCTCCTGAAACTTAAAGTATCGTTGCCTTGATAGCTGTTTAATACCATAAAGGAACTTATTGAGTTTACACACTAGGTTTTTTTTTTCCATTTCTATGAAGCCCTCTGGTTGTTTCATATAAATTTCTTCTTCTAGATCCCCATTCAGAAATGCACTCTTAACATCCATCTGGTGGAGTTCGAAGTCGAAATGGCCTGCTATGGCTATAGGGATTCTTATGGGGGGGAATTTTGCTATAGGGGAGAAGGTCTCATCATAATCTATTACATCTTTATGGGTAAACCCTTTAGCAACTAATGTGGATTTATATGTCTCCAAGTTCCCTTCTGAGTTCAATTTCTTCTTATCAAGGTTTGAAAATTTGACCATCCGGATCAAAATCGCCCGATCTAGATCCAAAATTGGATGAGGCATCCTGTTCTTGTCATATATTGGGAATCGACTGTGTTCCCCTAGAATCGCCCGGTTCGTAGCGGTTGTCTGATCGAACCAACGGGTTATGATATCACCAAATGATTATGATGTCATCAAACCCAATATGACGTTATCAAACCTATTTTCTTTATTTTTAATATGCGTTTAATTGTTTTTCAAATTTTTGACTTTTTTGTCTAATTTTTTGTTTTATTTTCAAAAACTTTATTGTTTGTGTTGTTTTATTTTCCAAACACCTTTTTTTATTTTTTATTTAAAATGTCCAATTTTTTTTAATAAATAAAGGGCCCAATTATTAATTTAAAACTCTAAAATATTTTTTTCCACAAACTCTCCCTTGCCCCATATGTGTTAAGCACTTCCTTCCCATAATTTATATTGGCACTTCCTTCTACAAAGTCTCGATGTGGGACTATTTTTTCTCTCTTCTTTCCTACAGCTGCATTGGGACTTTGAAGAAAGAGCTATTTGATAGAGAAACTCCTTAACAACAAGGTTTAAACGTGTCACACGAATGCTTGATACGGAAATTCACAAGGATCATCAAGCAAGTGGTTTTAATTTTTGTTTGCAAACCAAAAGACTTTCCATCCCCAAGGATTTGAAAGAGCACCTTCTTTCTACGTGGCATATTATCCATATGGATTTTGTAAGATATTTTGCCTATAAAAATGATCCAAATAGCCACATTCTTTAGAACTTATATAAGCCCCTCTCTCTCTCTATCTCTCTCCTCCCTTGGCGTCTCTCTCTAAAAACAATTAATTGCACTAAATTTCTCTCTCTCATTCTACTGACAACCCATTCCATTAAATTTGTTCCATATTGCTTCTTTTAAAAGTCCAAACTCTTAAGTTAATAAAACAAAAAATAAATTGAGTTAGAGAGATTCATTATATTGTCTTGAGTTACATTTTAAATTTCATTTTGACTATAAAAACGAACTTAATAGACAACACACACTCAACATAAAACAGATTCTCAGTATTTATATACTTTTGATACAATAATTACATAATGCAATTGCCACTATTTTTTTTAGAGACCTAAAAAATTTCGATTTTTGAGAAATTATAGCGATTTTTTGAAAATGTTTTAAGCTGAGATCGGCCAATTCAGCCGATTCTCTGATTTGGATTGCCGATCCACCGATCCGACACAGTTTTTGGGGCGGCTGATCCAAGTCACCGATCCGTTTTTTTAAATCTTGCTTCTTATAAATCCACTTGTAGCCTATGGGTTTTTTACCAGGAGGTAGTTTCACTAGTTCCTTAACGCTGTTTTGTTTGATCGAGTTAAGTTCATCAATCATGGCATCTTCCCATTGTGCCTTTTAATGACATGTCATGGATTCCTTGCAAGAACAGGGTTCATGTAGCGATTCTTCTTCAACTCTCTCATAATATTCTCTTAGGTAGTTGAAGAACTCAGGTTTCTTCTAATTCAGTTACTTTTCCTAGGATGTAGTGGTTCGGGATACAGGGCCTGGCTGGTGTCACTTTTTTTCTCTTAAAAGTGTGCTTGTTTTTGAGTGGCACAACCCTAGAGAAACTCTTCCTCAAGGAAATGGGCATCCCTACTCTCAAGGACAGCTTCAATATTAGGATTATAGAAATGGTATCCCTTATCATTCGGTGGGTATCCTATAAAGATGGATTTAACGGTTTTAATTTTTTACTATTTTGACAGAGTATTAGGACATGGGCAGAGCATTCCTACACTCTGAGGTGATCAAGGGACAGAGCATGACCAGTGAAAATCTGATGAGGACTTAGTGGGACAACTTTTTTGGCAGTCCCATTAAAAATACAATTAGCTGTCAAAATAGCTTCTCCCCAAAAACTTGAGAGTTTGGCATGTTCCATCATGCTCCTCACTATTTCCGTCAAGGTCCTATTTCGTCTCTCAGCTACCCCATTTTGCTGAGTGTATGGCATAGTATATTGATGTATGATACCATGCTCAGTTCAAAATTCCTTAAAAAGTCGTGAGGAATATTCTCCACCCCTATAAAATCTAAGGCCTTTAATTTTCTTGTTTTTGGGTTTAGACCTCAGCCTTATATTCTTTGAAACGGTCCATGGCTTCAGACTTTTCATTTAATTGATAGACATGGCCAAAACAGGAGTGATCATCAATAAAAGTGATAAAGTACCTCTAGTGGCCCTTAGTGGCCACATGCCCAGGTTCACAAATATCACCATGGACAACTTTTAATATGCCAGTAGCTCTCTGAGCTTTCACAAAGGATTTCTTAACCAACTTTCCTTGAACACATGATTCACGGACTCTGATTAAGCCTTCAAATTCGCGAACTTCTTTAAATTCACGAGTAAAAGAGTTATGTTTATAAATCACTAGTTGCTGGCACATGAATGCACAAAAGCACATGCAAAAAGTAGTAGTAAATTGGTTGCACAAGAGGATATTTTAAGGAATCAGTAAAAACAAGATGTTGTAAAGGCATATCAACAAGCATGTTTTTATGTATGGTAACATTAGAAATGTTAAAAAAGTACAAAGGGTATAATAAATTTAAAACAATTGTGTGATGTTTTTTAATCATTTCTAAAAGGATTGTTGTTTCTTGGTTATTTCTTACAAAAATTGAACTGGCGTTTGCTAAAACATTTGCAAATATAAGATAATTGGAATTGTCTTGTTAATCCTGTTTTAGGTTGAGTATCTTGTTTCGTTGTTCGCTAAGCTACTTTGTTCGCTACGTTAGCTTGAATATTTTTTGAAACAAACTAATGAGATTTGATCACGTGATATTTAAATAACTTCTCTCTCACAGGCCCCCGCAATTGGCTGCCAATGGTTTTCTTGTTTTGGGATGGATGAGCATGTCTACATGAAAGAAATTGCAGCTTCTAGAACCTTTTGCATTTATGAGGAGGTGGTGTTCTTTTATTCAACCTTATGATACATGGCATTTGGGTATTGTGTCCAGTAATGGCAAGAAAAGTTTTTTTCGTCTTGAATGTGAATATTGTATTTGACTTGAATCGTTGTCATCATCATTAGCATCTGAGCCTTAGCACAATTATTTAGGATTGGCTACATGAATCCTGTTTCGCCATTCTGCTTTATCAAGGGCCATATAATCAATAAGACTATAAGGCGCCATATTTTTTCTCATTACTTCTATCCATGTCATTTTGGGCTTTCACTTGCCCTGTAGAGCCTTCCACTTGAACAAGATCACATCTCCTAATTGGTATTATATTAGGTCTAAACTGCATATGGCTAGCCCAACTATGTCTATCTTCTCTCATCTTATCGCCCATTGAAGCCCACACCTAAGTCCCATCAAATTTATTCATTCCGAATTCCATCATTTCTTGTCTTGCCACTCATTCATCTCAACATCCTCATCTCAGCTACATTCATCTTATGGATATGTTGTTTCTTGTCCGCTCAACATTTTGTCTCGTAAAGCATGGTTGGTCATACAACTGTCCTTTCTAACTTCTTCTTTAGTTTTATTAGTATGCGGCGATCACATAAAACTCCAAATGCATGTCGCCACTTCTCCCATTTAGAGCTCTAAATCTATGTGCGATATCTTCCTCAATCTCTTTGTTCTGTTGTATTATTGACACAAATATCGAAAATTCTCTCTTTAAGGTATTTCTTGACCATCAATCTTAACTATTTCATCGTTTCTACTCTTATTATTACTAAACTTGCATTCCATATATTCTTTCTTAATCTGGCTAATTTGAAAACCTTTAGATTCTGGAGCATCCCTTCAAAGTTTAAACTTTGCATTGACACCGCCTCTAGTCTCATCAATCAAAACTATGTCTTCCGTGAATAACATACAATATGGTACATCATTTTATAGGTACCCAGTTAACTCGTATGTAACCAAAACAAGTGATATAAGCTCAATGTTGACCCCTGATGTAGGCCTATTGTCATTGAAAATTCACTTGTTTCTCCACCATAGTTTCAAAAAGCGGTCCACCTGGCACCTAGGAGAGCCAAGGGAGCCTTGGCGACTAGGTGGCCCTTCTAGGCGTTTGGTCCTTGGGCACTCAACCTCAATATGCATTTTTTTACCGTGTATGTTTGTGTATGGAGTATGGATTAATGCTAAGGAGTGTATGGACTGTGTTATGCCTCAATATGCATTCTTTATACAGAATTTGGACCTAAAGCAATTGGATCAAACACCTCCTACACCTGTTCTTCCACCTAGGCGGCATGGACCCCCCAGCTGTCTAGGCGCCGCTCGACGTGTTTTGGAATATTGTTCTCCACTAGTTGTCCTCACTGTACTTAGTGCTCCCTCCTACATATCTCTTACTATGTCAATACTGAAAGGTGGACTAGGTGACCGGGCAAGTCAATACCGATTACAATTTTTTATTTTGTTTTTATACCTATTGCCACTTGGATCACTTACAAGTGTCCGAAATACTATTTTGACTTAATGAAATAACCAGGGCCTCTACTTGCATGCCATTAAAAGAGAAATTACATTTATCATGTAGAACTGAAAGTTACATAAGGAACCAATAGAAGCAACATAAACACGAAATGTGAAATACTGCGTACCATCCTCAGGTTCCCTCAAGGACTTCGTACACCTCAAACCGGGTCTCCTCCACTGATGGTGCACATGATCTTGGTTCAAGAACGCACCTCACAATTAGGGAAGCCTAGGCAAAACTCTTAGAGAGTATCACATGATGCATGAGCATGAGGCAAGGACCTATGGCTAGGGCTACGGCCTGTGTGGCTTGGGCGTGCCACCCCTGAGGGTTAACTCTTTTCTAAACCCTAATTTGGATGAGAGAAGAAGAGAGGGTTAACTCTTTCTAGACCCTAATTTGGATGAGAGAAGAAGAGAGAGAAGGCTTGAGTGGGGCGTGCCCCCTTTGGTTGCTTAGACAGAGAGAGATAGAGAGATGAGAAATAGAACTCCCATAGCTAGTATTTATAGATAAGAGGCTACGGTTTCTAGGGTTAGGGTTTTTCCATCATCATGAGGTTTAATCTTGACCTTTGGGGCGAAGAGATCTCAACTATTCATTCCCTAAATCAACCATAATGTTTAAAGGAATGATGTGGAACCTTATCCCTCAATTTCCATAACTCTATTCCCATCACATGTTTTGTGTAGAGAAAGTAATAAATCAATGAAAATTAATTTCTTACACATTCCTATTTGAAATCAATCACAATCAATTCTTACACCATCCTATTTTGAAATCAATCATAATTAATTTATTACACCTTCCTATTTTGAAATAAATCAAAATCTCTACACAAAAAGGTATCGTAAAATATAAGTCAACATATGGCATAATTGCCATTTTTCAATTTAGGAAAGTATGGAGGAGGTGGGTTGCCTCGTGGGCCTCACACCCCCACAATATGGTGGGCCCAATGAACCCAATGGGCACCCAATCCCTTAAACATAATTTTTAGATAATAAAATAGTTTTCATAAAACCTCCAAGTATTTTATTTTTCTTTCTGATTAAAATAAATCCAGGAAATTGATTTTTCTCTATTTAAACATCATATTTCAATATAATAAAAATACCTAGAGAGGTCTAAAAATTCATTTTAATTATTTAAAAAATAATTGAAACATATCTAAGAAAGTTTTATGGCAATTGGATCCATAGAGTTAGGATTACGACAAATACAATGAAGACCCATCCTCTCTAGAGACCACATCTCACTGCACATTCTCCAATTGGCCCAGCCAATCCCATGACCCACAACCCATCATAGGGGTTCATGATTGGACCATTAAACTTAGCCAATAAGTGGAGAAGATACGATCTTAGACCATGGATTACATGTCCCTCCTTGATGACAAGTCTAGGGCCCATTTCAACAGTATGCTCCATGAGTCCTTCCAACACAGTCCAGTATTGCAGGAGTCATCTCTTCTGCACATGTACACGTCACACACCCTTATTCAAAGGATTGTTTCCTAGACGACTATCTAGTGTATGTGCCGTGTGATGGTAATGATGAGGATTTAAGCCTTTGTCCTCTCAGGCCATCCATCACATATAGGGGTCAAATCCATGTCCCCTGGCCAACTGTCTTGAGCACATCTCCAACCTCATATAGGGATAACCCCACGTCGAAACCCTTATCGGTTATGCTTACATGATGCTTAGGACTGCGGGTTTTGGATTTCACATTGAGTCATAGCCAGTCAAAACTCATGTGAGTGTAAGGCATTGTTAATGCCCTACAGTCCAAGCTGGACCATACTCCCACTAGAGTCAATAGTTCGTTATATATATTCTGTATATGCTCTCATAAGGCCTCTAAATGGCCACAAAAACCCAACAAATATAGCCTCTAGAGACTCCTTTCTTTCCAATATCTACTAGATTAAGGGGTCGTTTGGGTACCTGAAAATATATTACAGGGAAATAGATTAGTAGGAAATATGATATTTATACTGTTTGGGTACATTTATTGGTAAGGAAATGAAAATAGATTACACAATATTTCTCCAAATATCGTGAAATCTATTACACGCGGGGAGGGCTGGGAAATCTTTTACGTCCGTGATGGGTAATCTACTGCGCGCGTCTAAAAAAACCATTTTTCTTCTGTCCTGCGTACATCCTCTTCTCCCTCTCAAGCTCCCCTTTTCCCTCTCAACCTGGCAAGCCTACCACTTCCCTCTCTCTCTCAAGCTCCCCTTTTCTAGACTCAAGGCCATTTCTAAATCATGGTATCAATTTCTCTTTTTCCATCATTTTGCTCGAATCCACTCTCTCCTCTTCCTTGCTTCCTCAACCTCTCTCCTCTTCATCAAGCACTGCATTCATGGAAACCACATGTTTTATGTTTGCCCTTCTGATATAGTCATCTTTACTCAGCCTCTCTTCGAGCCTCCCTTCTCTGTTCCTCTTTGAGCCTCCCTTCTCTGTGCTCTCTCTCTACAAGTGAGCTGTGTAGGTAAATTATAATGATTACTAAATCTTTTGAAAAAAAAAAGGATTTTTTTGGGATTAGGGTTTAGATCGAGACAGAAAAGTGATATATTATATTTTATTTTAATTATAATGATTACTCTTTTGGAAAAAAAATGATTTTTTGGGGTTAGGGTTTAGGTAAAGATAAAGAAGTGATAAATTACTTATACATTGGCCTCTATTTCAATCTAATTTTTAAAATACTTTATCATTTCACAATAATTTTTTTAAAAATACATCACCATATACTATTTGAACTACAAATTAATGATATTTAAAGGTTGTGAATAAAATAGTTCACTCAATGTTTATGACCAATATTAATTCACACTTTTAAGTTATTATTCTTTGAGGCATGACAAGCATGGTATAGTCCTGCTATCTATACATATGCATTTCAATATTAAATAAGAATGTCAACAAAGAGACCATTTATCTTTTGTGAATAGAGGTCACGATCATTCATAAATATTAGATATCAAATTGGATGGCTTGAGGTGAGGCATGAACTGAATTTTTTTTTTTTGAAATTTTGTATTTATTCAATGACACTGGTACAACCACCCATTTTGAAATATAAAGGACAAGAATGATTGTGCGTACAAAAGATAAATGGTCTCTTTGTAGACAATTCCATATTAATTCATTATGTCTAGTAAGAGTAAAAAAGATAAATGGTCTCTTTGTAGACAATTCCATATTAAATTGTAAGAGCAAATTTAAGGTGCAATGTAGACAATTCCATTATTAAACCGTGTCAAGTAAGAACAATGTATTTCTTAGGTTGCATCTAAATACTACCCAAACAGTAACAATCTATTTGCATGTAATGTATTACGCCAGTAATATATTTCACAGACAATATATTTCCAGATATCCAAACGACCACTAAATCTTTAAGTATCTTATCGTATGCTTTCTCTAAATTAATAAAG